TCTTACAGTCTTCTTTCAATCAGTTAACAGCGACTAGAAAAATGTCGAATTCCTATTGGTCCGTTGAAACACCGATTCATATCAAGGCTCATTACGATTCTAGCTTGTTCGAACATCGTTGCAAACCTTCTCGATCCGTTTCATCCGGTTGGTCTGATCAACGGTTGCCCTGTAGGTGCTCGCAGAGTTCGTTTCTCGTGGAATCAACGTTGTTGTTCGTTTGAAATCGTGGAGCCGGTTCGATCGCGGAGTGCACCAGGTGCCGGTGTGCCGTTTCGTGTGTGCATTGCAGTGTATTCTCGCGGCGAGTGTTTGCGGAAGAAACAAAGGAACGTTGTTGTCTCAGCGTGTGCGCGGAAACCGTTAACGATTCGTTTGAACAGCGACACACTTTGAACTCGCATCGCGAGATCATTGATATTCGCCTCTCCAACCGATTTCCGATCCGGCTTTCTGCTTATAAAATAATCCAATTTATTCCATCCAGCCAGCTCTCCGATCTCTCGAGATCCATTAATTGAAAGCGGCCGTAACAAATAAACAGGAATCCATAATCAAGATGTCGGAAAGGAACTGCAGCCTGTCGGACTCCGAGGTACCGATGTCCGAGACCTGCAACAGTCCGGATCCCGCGAGCCGGTTAAGAAAAGAGAGCAGAATGAGTCCTACCATAGAGAAGCTGATAGAAAAGTTGAAAATTTTGCATTACGAGACACCCAGGTTACCCAGAGCACCGCGTCCAACTCCTTCCAGGAGATCCCCCAACGAAGACTATTCTTTAGAGTCGTCTGTCAACGAGGATCTGGAAGCATCCTCTTGCAGCGAGATCAGCAGGTTGAAGAAGGCGTTGGAGATGCGCTTCGCCGTTCATTTCTCGAGTCCCAAGAAGAAGCACAGCAGTCCGGTTCGAGACAGGCACAGTCTGGACAATAACACTCTGAAAATGATGATAGCCAAGGAGCACCACCGTCGTCGTCTGATAGACGCGGAGTGGGACACGGAGAAGTCTCCTGAAAATAGCCAGGTGAATATGAGTCCGATTTCGAATTGCAGTTTGAACAAGACGAGAAGCAGCTCTCTTCAAGTCGCTCCCGGCTCGCCTTACTCCGACATGGACAGCTCGGAGGAGTACGAACAGGTCCGAGAGAGCGAGTATACCTCCTCGGTGGAGCGCAGCTTGCGTGAGATCTCCGAGGTGTTTTCCGTGTTCTTGCAGTGCAACAAAGATAAAGCGGAGAACAGGATGGATAAAAGTGCGAAGATGGAAAAGAATATGGTAGGCGAGGAGATCTTCAGACAGGCTGTAGACGTCAGTTTGAATGACCTGGTGACTCGCGAGCAGAAGGAAATGATCTTGGAGAGCTACATGCAGAGTGTCACTTTGGATGTGGATCAGAAAGTGGAAGCTGGCCTTAGCGAGCACGGTATCAACGTCCAGACGGTGTCCAAGGAGGAAAACGTCGATGAGTCTTCTTTTAAGCACGTGTTGATTCCATCAGTCGGAAAACTGAAGAGTCTAGACCGGAACCCAGACGACTCGAGCTTCTCGAACGAGACGAAAGGGAATGTCGAGGACACGGATATAATTTCGCTTTCTACCGAGGAAAAGCAGGAGGAGGAACCAGCGATTGGAATGCGAAAATGGCGCAGCATGTGCGAGAACATGGATGAGTTGAGTAATGATTACCCGAAGAAGAAGAGTCACTCCGAATCCGAAATTTCAAAGGCTGGACTCGACAACGACGACTCGCTTTCTGAGGTCTTCATCAGACGACTAGAGAGATCTAAATCGATGATAGACGAGATCTCGAGCAGTGGATCGTGCCCTAAGGACCTCGCAGACAGCGAATCGCTCAGCGAATGTCTCGTGGACCGACCTGGGGAGATCGAGGAGGAGACTTCTCTGAGGTGCAACGTTTCATCTGACTCGGATAACGATCCCGAGATCAGTAAGGATTCCGCGGAACCTTCCAGGAAGGTATCGAACGGTTCATCGATTGGCTCCCCTATCCTTGCCTCGTGGAAACTGCTCGATCGGCTGAACTTCGTGAGAAGAGCCGCAGAATCTCGAGCACCGAGTCCGAGGAAAAGCGAGTCTGACGATCAACGAAGTGACTCGAACAGGCGCGACGAAGATCCTCGTAGCATCGATTCAACCGATTTCTCTCGGGACTTCGACCATCTGTCTTATAGGGCTCCGAACATCCAAATGTCTTCCACTTGGAATACCTCGAATGCGCCGTCGAAGAAGTCAGGAGTAGCTAAACCTGGCGATGTCATCGATCGCAGTGGCGTGAATTTTTCATCGAATTCTCGCAAGAACATCTGCTCGACGGGCTCCAAAGACTGTGACAGGTCCAAAGTAGCCGATAACGCGGCAGGTTACTTCACGGATTTAACTGGACAAAATGTACAGACGTTGGGGCAAGACACGCACGATTCGTCGTGGAGCGTAGAGGATGACGACGTTTTCGAGGATGCGGTGGAGTCTTGTCGAACGAGAAGCGGCTACCGGTCCTTCTTGCAGAAGATGGCCGACAGAGAGGCTAGGTGTTCGCTCAAGCGGTCGTCGGATTCTTCAGATGGGAAAACGTCGGACGAAAGCGAGGGCGAAAGAGAGAAATTAACGAAGAAGAAAGATAACTCGAAGGATCTATGTTTTACTTCAAAATCGGCGTGTGAGCAGGAGAATAAAGTTGTGAAAACTAAATACGTCAGGAAGAAGATGGTGGTACCCGTGAGGGGTGTGCCAGGTAATCCAGTGTCGTCGTATGAATTTTCGGGGCCTTGGGCTCTTGGTCCTTTGATATTACTCTGTCTTGTCTTGTCTTCTTGGTAGATTTTAGTGGTAGATTTATATGGCCATCTTCTGTTATTTTATAGAAATTCTGAGGATCGTGAAAATTTATATAGGTAGTATTTAAAATTAGGAATTAATATAAATATAAAATTTTCCAGTAGGAGAATTCCAAGCTTTGGTGATCAAAATAGAGAAAATCGTAAAACTATTAAATTATTTCTCAGGGAATGACAAACATTCGTACCGAGTGTACGAAGAATCAGGTACAGGGTGCATAGAGAATTAGTCTGTAGGAAATAGCAACTTTCGAAACTTTTGTACAAGGAATTGCTTGACTTGGGAATACAGGAAGTCGCAGTTAAACCGATATTCGATTAAGGCTCCAAATTCGTCATTTCCTTAGCCGGCTTCTATCGACGGGATAATTCAATTTAGCGATCAGACGTTAGGCATATCGTGAGTCTTTAAGTGATTCTATCTCAAAGTTTAGCTCGTCGATAGTTTAGAATTATATGGATCACTTTGCCCGCTTCTTTGCCGTGTTTCTAAACCGGATGGAAGAGGTCGAGCTAGGAAGAGCTAGGTTGAAAATAAAAATAAAAATAAAAAGAAAAAGGAAAAAATGGAGGCAGAAAGTTTATTGAACGCCGAGCTTGCAGATAGCTATTATAAATTCCGGTGTGACGAGGCTCGTAAAGAGAGAACGAATAACGGTGTCGATTTATCCGCGTTGCAACGCATAGCGATGTTATCGATGGAAAAGCGGGATTATGGTTCGCGATCCAACGTGCCACCGCGGTTTGTCTTTCTTCTTCGAGCTGCAAACAGCAATTTACAATGGCGGACGATAAGGCAAGCGGCCATAAATCATCCCCGAAGAAAGAGAGGCCGCGAACGAAATGTATGCGAGGCATTAATTGGATAGATAACAGGCTGATCGGTCGCGATAACGTTGCCGCCTGGTGGCTCGATCAATATTTATCAATAGTTAATTACACCGCGAATTACACCGGCGAGCGTAAGCGCGAAATACGCCCAGCCTGCAAAGTAACGCGAGATCGAATCAGCCCGGATTCCAGCTCGGTAATCCGCGCGGAGCGCTCGTTCCAGAGATACCCGGAGATTACCCGACGCTTTTTTCCGGAAACTGTGTCAGATGCACGGCTACGATAAGCTAGCATAATTTCTGCAATGGACCCGGCCGAGCTACCTTCCCACTTCGCGATACGAACCCCGCTTCTTGCCTGATTTCGGCGTCCCTCGGATCGACTGCTTCCGGGCAATCGGCGAACATAGTAGCTGTATCGGTATGGAATCGGAAATGCGAGGTTTCTTGACAAAATTATCAAATGGGGGGAAAAACAAGCGCATATTATCTGATCTAGCAGTTCAGCTTGGCTAGAAGATTTTATAAAATTATGGATTGCACGAATTATTATATGTGAAATTCGCCGATGTCTTTTAACCCTTCGCTAGTACGGGTAGCTATAGTCACTGGGTACGAGACGCTATTTATACAGGATGGGTGACAAAAATTATCCATCGTTTGCAAAAATTAAGCCAGAAATTAACTCCTGTCGTGATAGGCATTCAAAAGTACCAGCGCTCATTCCTATTTAAACGCGATTTTCGTTCATAGCGATGCAATAAAGGCAAAACTGTCCACCATTTAACTAGGGATGTGAGGGTCCCAGGACTGCAACAGCGAGCGTATATATGCGTTTCTCGGCCATAGCAATGCATTTACGTGACCCCTTTCTGTGAGTCCCTCGGTCCTATCAGTTGTTTCTACCGAACGCATATGAGTCCCTGGGCCAAACTGATAATCTCCGCCAAACGCATATATGCGGTGCTCATCTGTAAAGGGTTAAGACAAATGTTGCCGTTCCGCTTAGCTCTCTTCATAAAGAATTACAATTGCTATTACGATGGTCGGTTTTTCTTTTCCTTTTTCCTTCTTCTTCGAAAGACTTGGTCCCAAATGCTAAAGACTGCCAAAGATCGTAATGTTTCCATCTTTGGCACGGCGCTTCGTCCTAAGGGAGGGACTCTGCGGCGACAGCCGTAGAGAAAGGGTTAATAAAGTTTATTCTGAAATGACGTTGACGGCTATTGTGTGTGAGATAGGATGTATTTGACATGTATTTGTTTGACATCGTGACTAACGTTCTAACCAGGAATTTCTCGTTTTTGTTCACAGATGTGCTCTTTCCGCCGTCGCACAAACTGACAGTGGCAGAGGTGTTCGACAAGCGAACGGACCTGCCGCAGCCGGAAGTCCTCAAGCAACACTTTATCCTCGAAGGTAGGATCGACGAGGCTGCGGCTCTTCGTATAATCAACGAAGGAGCCGCCCTTCTCCGCTCGGAGGATACTATGATCGAGATCGAAGCTCCGGTCACCGGTGAGTCCTCTCTTCCTCTTTTCAACGTTTTACCTCGCGCTTCCTGCGCGAAGGTCGGATTCAATCGCCTATGAAACGGGCGCGTATCGATCAAATTTACTTCGCGCCTGAAAAAGAAACGGCGAAAGGGGGGAGAAAAAATGGGGGTGAAACAAAAAGGGTGAAAAGGGAGCCGCGAGAGAACCTTTGGAAGAATCGAGTCGCAGGAAAGGACGCATTATATCGTGACACGTTAGAGGGAAAAACGTGAAAGGCACTTGACACAGTTACACGCGGCGAGAAAGAACGATTCCCTGGCTTCGGTGTGCGTTTACACGAGAACGATCGCGACACCGTGAAGGCAGCAAAGTATCGACGCGGTGTTACACCACGTTGCTCTTATTCACCTGTGTACACGTGTGTGTACGAGCTAGTGCCGCGTGCGACGGATGCACGGTTGAGCGGTTCGTTTCGTCTGATCCAATAAGGGTAGCTAGATCGATTCCGCTCGTGTGGACCGGCCTTAAACCCTCGACCGGCTAGAAAAGCGAGGCCTCGACGCTTCGAGGCCTGCCTGCCTGCCTGCTGACGCGTTTCTCCGTTTTAACGCCACGCTCAGGCTCTCTCTTGCCTCTTCTCCTGTCTTGCCACCCCTTTTACCCGTCTCTGTTGACACTTGGCTCGAGTGTCGAGTGATCGCGATGGAGTTTTCGGATCGGGTTCTGGATCGTTCGGTGATACCGCCCGGAGGACCACCAATAGCTCCCCAAGGATCAGGAAAGGGTGATTAGTTCTCGTAGGACATTCGGCTTAACGCGTTAAGTGCCACACGTTAAGTCCCTAGAGACCGACGTTAGACTTTTCGTTCGGGCTCAGTCGAACCTCAGGGACCGGTCGCAGAGTTTAGATTCCTATTACACGATCGCATGTGTCAGTTCTTGCTCACTGATTGTGACACTAAATATTTTACTTAGGCAACATCGGTTTTTGTTCAGTCGAGGTTTAAGGAAAAGAATACAGTATTTTTAAAAAACTTAATGAAATATATTAACACTATGCCGTCCGGTGGCACCATGTTGGTGTCATGCGAAAACTATGGGCAAATGCCGATGACAGCACGTTGGTATCATGCGTAAATGAGTCAGTCCTACTGACGCCAAAAGAATCCCGATTAGACGTGAGGACGATATAGTGTTAAAACAGGATAAACAAAGGCGTGGTTTGGATCTAGAATCGTTACAATGCTAACTTTTGGTGTTAAATTCTTCGCCATCTTTGGTCCTAACGTTTGGGAATTCCTGTTGCGACAATTGGTACAGTATCTCCGAGTTTTATGAACACTTTGCCCGCTACCACTGGTCTACTTGATGACCGAGTCTGGGCCTGAACGGAACAACAAGCAAAACGTGCTGGACTCTTAACGCGTTAAGCAAGTGGGAATTATAGTATCCCAAGTGACGAATCGCGTGGAGGATCGCGTCTAGTCCGATTTCCAAGATCGTCGAGTAAAATCGAGGTGTATCTTGCCGCATATAATTACTCTCGAGTAATTTCGATCGGCTAATTAGCTATTCGACATGGAGATCTTTGGTATCCGAGGAAATCGCTCGCGTGGAAGCCAGGATGATTAAGCCCCCCTTCCCAGCTATTAAACTTCATCTGAAACAAGTAACGAACCGGTAAAGAAATATCCTGGAGGATGGAAAAATACCGAAACGCGGGTTCCGAGTGGTGAAGCGAGGAAACGAAGGCAGGATTCCCAGGGAACTGGCAGCCTGGATCTTTTCCAGTAAATATGTCCCTATGAGCGAGCTTCCTCGCTAATTAGTTCTACTTTGCCATGATCTATTAGTTTTGCAGCAGTTAAGAAGCATAATCCTCCGACACCTTGCTTTTCACCCCTCTTGGCAGCCTTCCATTCTTGCAACTTTCTTCTCGCCCTTTTTATCTTCTCCCTCTCTTTCCTTTGATCTACCAGGTTCTCCCTTATGCCTGCAGTTTTTCCACGAAAACTCGCCTTCTCTCTACCGAATCAGCTTTCTTTTGTAATTCCTCCGAGTATGCTCCTGGTTCTCGCTTTTTCCCCGGAGGTCAGCCGCCAGCTCTCCGAGTCTTCCGTTTCCTCCGTTTCTTGACCTTCCACCTACGCCTGGCCGACCTTTTTACACCGTTTCGCCCCCTCTCTTACACCCGTTCCTCCTCGTTCATCCCCGACAAAACGCACTCGCGGGGAACCAGCGCAAAACCAGCCACTCGAGGCTTCTGGCAAACGTTTTTTCCACCCTTTTCTCTCCCCCGCGGTCTCTCGCAGTTCCACGTGTCGGCGGATAATAGCGGATTAATTGGGGCGAGCGATGAAAGGCAACGTTTTTTCGAATTATTCTCCGGCGCTTCGAGTACGCCGGAAAGTGGAGGAGAAAAGTCTCTCGCGCGAGAAACGGTGTTCGCGTTATTCGTTATTTCTCAGTTTCGTGCTCCAGTTGGAGAATGGTCTAAATGGCTCGCGAGCTGAATTGACACCGACTGGGATTAACCGGCGAATTTTGCCAATTCGTTAACCAACCTGTTTTCATCTAGCTAGTCTACCCGATGTCAGTATAGTATCCCCTAACGATCCATCGTTTGCTGTTGTTCTAGCATTGGCAGTTGACATTTTGACAGGCAGCCAGTTTTCATATAGGACGCTCAGGGGACCATAACAAAATTTTCATTACTCTTAGTGTATCCTAAGAATTCGGTGGATCTTAGAATTTTTTTATTTTTTAACACTTGGGACGCTCAGGGGACCACGATAAAATTTCCATTATTCTTAGTATATTCCTGGAATTTAGTGGATTTTAGAATTTTTTTACTTTTTAACACTTGGGACGCTCAGGGGGACTACGATAAAATTTCCATTATTCTTAGGATATAGGGATGAATTATCAAGCATATGGCAAAGAAAAAAGAACGATGCAAATTATTAATGTTTTCTATTAAAAGCGATCTGTTTATTTACGTTGTTCAGATATTAAAAAATTGGTTAGAATAAAACAAATATAAATTTAGAAAATTAGTATCGCCAGACACAGGTGACCATCATGGTCTCACTGAGGAGTCAAGTGTCGGTCACTGATGACCACCATGACAATCAACGTGTTAAATGATCGTGTATCAGGATTTTGAGGGTGGTCTTTGCTTGGTGATATTGTTGGACAAGAAAATAAGCAACATCGTCGATCGGTAGAGATCTGTATTATTGGCATGAGGGTAGATTTTTGCTCTAGTGTCTACCATGGTAATCGGTTGTTAGACAACCATTTTTGTTGTTGCCTTGCTTTATTTATTAATAAATATACACATATTCTCCCAAATTCGTACCGCGTTACTCTTGATTATCCTAATTCCAACAGATATTAATTAAAGTGATATAAAATTAATTTCTTCAACATGCTTGCAATAAAAATTCCGAAGTGAGGTATTTGACTAGTTTAGAAATTTTCTTCTTCCTACTGTGTTATATTTTAAGCTATGGTGTTTGAGTCCTCCATAATTTCTCTTGATTTCTAATGACAAAGAGGAGCGAGACCATACAAAGGGACTCGTTAAATTATATTGTATATTCTTCTCGTACAGATGATGACGCGACGTGCCTAAATCGGTACCTTAAACAATAGAATTTATTGAACCCTCGTTCTTGTATATTATATCGTATTTACTTACCCCAGTATCGACTTTTACGTTCCTTAATGCGTATCGCGATTATTGTCCGCATTTCGTCAACTTAGTGGTGCCTGCTTTTGTCCTGCGTGGTACCCTGAAACCACCTTACGCCCCTGTCTCTACGTTCTCTGACCCCTTTCGCCCACGACCCCCTTAATTTTCGATTCCACGCGTTCGACGGCGTCCGACAATGGGACAGACGCGTCCCGACGTCGAACGAAACGAAAGCAACAGCCCCGACGCGGCGACACACCCCTACCCCGTCGCGAATCCTCAATTACGCGCATCAATTAGTTCCATCACGGTCATCTTCACGGTGTCCGCGATTGTTCTGCTGGCACAATACACGCCAGAACACAATAACTCGGATCGATTCGATTCTGTCCTTCGTATCCCCACTGGACGCGCAGCCTCCACCTTTGTGGCGTCGACGGCCACGTCTTCGAAAGGGGTAGTTATTACCTTTGGTCGACCATGCGTCGCGACTTCTATTGCTCCCGATTAATCCACCGCCCCATTCGCCTTTTTATACTTTTCCCTCATTTTTCTCTCCCTTTTTCCCTTCTTTTCCTTTTTCTATATATACGTGTATTGGAAAACGGTGTGGGGGGAGCATAACTTGGCGATGGAACGATTTTAGGAAAGCTTCGTGAGTTTTTCCTGCAATTTTCCACGCTCTTTCTCGTTATAGCGAATGTTTCGTTGTAGTGCAATCTTTCTTTTCCTTTCTCGTGGATTTGGTGCGTTATTTCGTTTGAAATTCGCGTCTGTGATTATCTCCGTGGTCTCGAGGAACAAAAGAGGCCTGTGGGGTGGAGGCAGGAATCGGAATAAATTTCTTTCCTTTTCCTTTTTCTGTATACACGTGTATTGGAAAACGGTGGAGGGGGAGCATAGATTGGTCATAGGACGATTTTAGGAAAGCTTCGTGAATTTTTCGTCCAATTTTCCACGCTCTTTCTCGTTATAGCGAATGTTTCGTTGTAGTGCAATCTTTCTTTTCCTTTCTCGTGGATTTGGTGCGTTATTTCGTTTGAAATTCGCGTCTGTGATTATCTCCGTGATCTCGAGAAACACAAGAAGCCTGCAGGGTGGAGTCAGGAATCGGAATAAATTTCTTTCGTCCGCGACTGGGTTTTTAAGGAAATCGTGATAGAAAATCTCGTACCACTTGGCCGGGACACGGTTCATCACTCGAGATACGGCATTAAACGAGCCGGCGTTACTTCCTCCGCGTAGAAATACTCCGTTGAAAGCTGTTTTTCAAGCTGAAACGTCAAATTAAATGTTTTGGAAGACGAGAATCTCCGCAACTGTTG